AGTGGGGCCACGGGGGGTCTGGGGCTGGGGGTGGCCAGAGGGGACCAATACTTCCCACTCTCTCCACCCCCCTGCGGGGCTCGGAGTGCGAGTGGTCCCTCGGATGGCAGGCGTACGGAAAGCACCAGAACCCCTCCCCCCCTCCCGAAACAGCCCGTGACCGTGGGCAGAAGTCACCGGGAGACCCGGGGAAAGCAGTGCACGTGTTCGCTCCTTTTTGTCTCCCCGGTGGTGGGAATTTCGGACTTGGCCGCGATCGTGGCCGCTAATGTATTCGTTTCATCAGTCCAGAGCGTAGGTCTTCGGGGCGCCCGCGGATCCCCACACCCGGACCTCCAGTCCCCACCTCTCAAGTTTGCCCCGGGCCACCCCGCCGGCCCACTGTGAGCGGGGAGAGCTCCCGCTTCCTAACGGAACCAACTCTCCGGGGCACAAAAGCCGCTTCTCCCCCACCCCGCCCGCCCCTGCGCGCCCCCCTTGGCGCACACCAGCCCTCCTCGAGCCGCCCAAGTTCTTGGGGAAGCCCAACTCGCTCCTGGCAACCCCAGGCTGCTCGGTGGGCAGAGGCCCCGGCCAGAGGGGTCCCGCTTGGGGAAGCAGGCTTGGCGCCCCCATTCCGGCACATGCGGACTGGAGTCCCGGCTGCTGGAACCGGCGGGAGGCGTGAGGCTGCCTGGATGGTGGCTATTTCTCCGGATTGCACTTTGAGTCGGAAGTGGTGTGTGTGTGTGTGTGTGTGTGTGTGTGTGTGTGTGTGTGTGTGTGTAGAGGGGGGCGGGAAAGAAAGCACCCTCATCTGTCCGTCATTCCCTTGCACCGGCCAAGTCCTCGCCAAGCCTCCCGGTGCATCCTTCCTCCACCGCCCCCTCCCCTCCTTGCTCGCCCGGCTCGCGCGGCGCCGCCGGAGCAGCCAGTGAGCGCAACATCCTGGAAAGAGGGGGGAGCACTCCCGTCCCCCCAAAGGGAAAAAGGCCCCACCCTGACACGTTTTGCTGTTTGCAAGTCCCTAGCACGCCCCCGCACCTCCTCCTAGCGTTCCCGGCCCCCCTAGT